TTGAACACTCTCACTCGTAAATTCGGACAGACACAGATGAAAGTCAATGCTCATCTTGGGAAACTAAAATGTTTCTCCTCATTGAAAATGCATAACTCCGACAGCTTCATGAAATTCGCTTCTACAATCCCAAATCTGTGGGTGGATGTAAGTCAATCTCATATTCCCAGGATTTGGAAACAGTTGCTTTGCTGAACCAAGCATTAAATAAACTGCCACCCTACTTAGAGGAATCATGAGCTCTTCACACAATGAAAAGGAGACTTTACCAACCATCTGTGCTCCATTTTAATGACTGGTTGGCAGAAAAAGCAGAGGCGCACAAGCGCATGCGCGCTAAAATTACCAAGAATCAAAATCAGGAAAATCAGGCCAACTCTGGCTTTCTAAAACAGTAACGGAAGTTTTGACCTGTACTTCAAAAGTGTCTGATAAAAAAGCCCTCTCATTAGTATCCGCCCTTTGTTGTTTGCAATGGCAAACATGACATTTGGTCCTGTAGCATCTTCAGAGAGAAAACTCCTACACAAAGAGCAATTTTTGCGGCCGAACAAAAACCGTGTTTTTCTTGTCTGCGATCCGACCATACTTTTCGAAACTGCTCAAAATCTAGAAAATGCACTAAGCTTGATTGCAACAACACTCACGATGTCCTCCTTCACGGAGCCGAAAAAAAATACCCCGCAAAAGACTCAACAAAGTCTCCAGCAGGAGGAAAAACTTCTTCGCATTCCGTTAGTCTCGAAGTAGAAACAGTTGAAGGTACTTACGCCAAATCCGTTCTCCGTGTTAAAGGTCTGCTTCAAATCGTTGAATTGAAGTTGTCCAGCTTCTCAACTTGCTCTAAGCTCTTGTTTTTTTTTGTTTTTTCTTTGTGATTCAGCTTGCAGTCAGTCACTGATTTCCGCTCAACTTGATGAAAAACTCAAAATCTTCGGTGATAAGTTGAATCTCGCCGTCAGTTTTAATGACGGACCAAGTAGATAGAGTAAAAACTTGTTTTAATGAAACTGGCTCATACAATTTGTGAAAAAAGATAAAAGCTTAAAATCTGATACCATCAATGTCAGTGAATTTTAAAAACCTGTATCCTCATTTAGCTTTAGTGCCTTTCTTGACGTTTCAAAATTGGGCATGGAAATGATTATAGGCCAAGACTGTTTTCACGCCATCCGACCATTAGAAATTCACAATGATAAAAGCCGAATTTCACCGTTTGCAGTACGCTTACCTATCGGTTGGGTTCTCCGTGGTCCTCTACCATCAACCTTAGGTTTTCCATCTTACTGTTTCAAGTGTAGTGTTGAAGACAACTCTCTTGTAGAGCAAGTCAAAACCTGGTATAAACGTGAAGGCTACGGTACTTGTAAATCAGCCGATCCGCGTTCAGCATCAGACAAGCAAGCCTAAAAACGCTTGAACTGATTGTTTTGCATGACGAAACGCGATACTCCGTTGGTATGTTTTGAGTCGATAAGAATGTTAGCTTGCCAAAAACTAATACACTGCATTTGCCTGAGCTTAAGTCTTTGGAATATCGGTTCGAAAAATATCCTACAACCTGAAAAATTTTTACGGTTAAACTATTCAGTACGATTTGGTACTAACAGAACTATTCAGTACAAACTCATTCTGTAAATAGAAAGATTTGAACACGCGTACAGACTGCGAGTGGTGTTGAAACCACCATCCAGTGGTTAACCCGAATAAATCTGGAAAGTTGAGGCGTGTTTCAAACTGTGTTTCAAAATTTTATAGTGTACCCTTGAAGGAGTCACTTTTGGTAGGGCCCGATCTGATGCGTTGTTGAGAGTTCTCCTCTGGTTCAGACAACAAGATTAAAATAAATCACAATTTTTCAAATAATTTTCTTCACTGGATAGACGTTCAAGTGTTGCTTTGCAAAGGGATTGCCACATTTCATGCAGGCACTACTTCTTTCAATACTGAGACTTAATTTTTTTTCCAAGAGGCTGGAGCATCTTGCTGGCAAACTCAACTTGAACTAAAGTCGAAGAAAGTGTGGTAGCTATACTGGAGGAAAAAGTAGCACAACCAAACAGTTTGCTTGCGAGATTTTTTGAATTTCCCGAGTAGCGGCATCATATATTCCTATGACAACAAAGACGGTCGTTTAAATGATGGGAAAAACTCAACATGAAAACATTTGAATTTAGGGTTGTCAGAATAATTTTGAACAATTTCCCCATAAATTGAACGATTATTTTGTAAACGTAAGCTTTCACGTTTTTTAGCAAATGCTGAAAATAGGCATTTGAGCAACTCTCATCAACTTGATCATTCTTGTGAAGATTTCATTACTTCATAAAGTTTTGCAATAAGTAGAGGCTGAACAGTAAGAAATTTCATCACTTACGGCCAACAAACAAATTTAGGCAAAAAATGAAACAAGAAAAAAAATTAGTTCAAGATTTAGTTCCATAGATTAAATGGTTTTCTAGGGTTTATGTAACCTTTTTGCTAACAAATTACCCCAAACTTTCTTATAAAAAGACTACATTATAAAACAGACGCATAGTTAGCCGAGCTAATATCTTTCGCCCGCAAAGGAACGAGAACGGGTGCGAGTTTCACGATCGGACGGGTATTTTAGCCGGTCGCCGATGAAATTACGTTTAACCGCGCTATGTCATCTTTGCCGCAGTTAAATGACTTCATTCGCACTAACGGGTAATGGCGTCTTGGACTATTGTCCTCAATCATATCAACGAGATCTCCAGTTTTCATGTGTGATTCTGGAAAAGAAAACCGTTTCGCTCGTTTGTTGAGCTTCCTGAAAACAAAAAAACTACAAAACAATCATGGCTTCATTTGTGACGTCGGAGCGACCGCGCAGGAAAGCAACCGAGTAAAAGACGTCCTGGGAGCTGTCACCGAACATATGCAGTTCTTTTTGGTCAACCGGACTGTCGAAGAAACAGCGAGAAATTGTTGGACGGCCAAGTATTGGTTAACCAGATTGCCACTCTATGAACTTTTCTTATAGATCGCCTGATTATGGCTCATCCCACTGCTGGTCTCAACTTTTGCTGTTCTCTGGATTTGACTCTTTCGGCTAAATGTGGGACATTGCTGACAAACTTGGTTAGCCTAAAATCTCGTAGATTCAAAAAACTTATATGTTCTTCGTTCAGGCTTAGCGCTTCGTTCGGGTCGGCGATAGAACCTTAGAAATCATCCATATTAAAGTTATCTAGGACAGCAGAAAAATTAGCCGTAAACTTGGCGTAATTATTTTTCGTGGTTTTACAGAGCGTAAAATTTGCGCAAGTGGGGGAGACACGAGCGCCGAGGATGTGACGAGTGAATTGAAAAACGTTCACCTCACTTGAGAGGTCCTCCCGCCACAAAAAACCGTAACGACGGCTGGTCAGCTGGAATGACTCCTACTTGATGGAACATTCCTTCGATGTCTGCCGATACTGCAATTGTGAAGAACAAATTGTGAAGAACAAACGACCAAATGGATACATTGTAAATGATAATGTCCGTACTGATAACTGTACATACATTCCTTTGAAAGGTTCCTGGAGCCGAAATCAAGAAAAACATGGATTAAAAAACAGATCTAGAGCGAAAAAGATCAGAGCAACAAAAAAAATGTTCAGAATTAAGTGAAAGAACAATTTACGATCAGATTGGACTAGAGACCAAGAAACTACTGAACACAGGGCTTGCCTGAGAGATGGTTGTAAACAAGAACCTGCCTAAAGATTCAGCAAGCGCATTTAGCTTCATCAAACAAAACGTACAACAAAAATTGAAGCTAAGAGACTCCAAACTGAAAATCAATCCAGTGAATAATTGGATGAAAGAGTTATATTGCGGGTTCACCGACGACACAATTAACATTTTGAGGAAAATCATTGCCAAGACTCAATCCAGCGGAAGGATTTGCAAAGAAGCTCCCTTCTTCACTACGTGAGGACCCGAAAAGAGCATCTTGGGCAACTAAATTCTATCAAAGCTTGGGATAGAAGGGAAGCAGAAGAAATGTCCACTGCTGATTTGTTTCTTATGTCACCCACCAACTCCACTATCCTTTCAAACCGGTTCAAGTTAAAGGCAGAAGAGTGCCATTACAATAATTATCGGGAGTGAGTCACGAGTTAAGAAGGAAGGAATTCAAGAGACCCATTGAAAAAAATGAAAAAAAATGACGAGTTCGATCATAATCACTAGCAAGAAAGACGGCTCAATTAATATACGCAAACTTACAGATAATTTTGCACTTTAACTATCGGAAGAAACAGACGTACAGGTCGGGTTCAGTAATCTTGATCTCAAAAACGAGTAACGCCTACTCAAATTATTCGAGAAAAATACTAAAAAAGTGCAACTTTCGTATCGTAGGCGTTGACAGCACGTCAAGTACTAGTTTTTAACCTGACTTTATTGACTAGGCAATATGCCCAACAAGTTTCAAAGAGTCGGAGATTCAATTTTAAAAGGAATACCCGTCACAAAATGTTATATAGATTATATACTCATACCCTCAAAGGGAAAAG